TTTCTTTTCTTTCCTTTGTGGGGAGAACTAGTGGGGCAGTGGATGGATTTGGATCATTGGTAGGTAGGTTTGAAGTTTCTCCATGGATTTTGTGCTAGCCTTGTCACTTGTCCATGCCCCTTTATGTAAGGAGGAACTTCCTCCTTGTAGTTAAATTCTGATTCTCTATATCAGAACATAAATCTTTACACACACACACACACATATCAATAATCATTGTTCATTCCTCTATTTCTCACATGTTCATCAATTCATCCTGTGTAGTCCAAGATGCAAAATCTGACTGCTAATGTGTGTGTGTGTGTGTTAAACATGTTGACTGGTATGCGAGTCATGAGCAAACTTCAATGACTATATTTTAAGCTTAAAACAATGGCTCCTCTATTTAGTAGGATTTATAATTTTCTTATATTGAAAACACCATGGCCATGTTAGAAGGACATAGATAAATCCATAGAGTCGACTACACATCAAACACAATTAATTCATGTATGAGCAATAATTACTCCCAGAAAATCCTTAAGCTTAGAAGAAAAGAAAAAAAAAAGCATCAGTTAGCAGTTCTATCTCGTACTTAGATAGTACATAACATTTCATCTTAGAACCGTCAACAATCAATGAACAATACATTATTGCCAAAGTAGTCGTGCTGCTGTTGATCAGAGAACTCAAAACTAGTGTTCTACTTCTATTGTGTTGGGCTTTTCCATTGACTTGCAGATCATTCTAGAAAAATATCATATATAGAAAAGGAAAAACTGAAAGAGAAAAAACCAGTGAACCTAAAATTTCAATACACATCATAAAACAAAACATTTTAGTAAATGTTAACTACTCCTGGTTTTTTAGTTTTTCTCTATAATTAGAATCCAAGGACGTGATAGGAGAAATAGGGAAGCTTTAATAATGAACAATCTCTTACAGTGAGAACTAATGGTTGGACTAATGCAGATGCAACAACAAAATTGTAGTGGACAGGTATATTTATTATTAGTTTTACTCTTTACTAAATATATGTTTAATTATGTCAAGATTTCATGTATTTTGTTTTGTTATTTTGAAGGGTTCTGATTCTTTAAATGCTCCTCCTAGACCTTCAAATTCATTTTCTAGTCGGGATGCCAATTCAGTTAAGGTTATGAACTTTTTTAATTTCTCTTATATGTTAAGTTTCCATTTATTATAATGTGCGCTTAATGAATTTATAAAAAATGTAGGATAATTCAAATTAAATGGGCAAGAAGACTTGTTGAAGTTGAAGTTGAAGCTGAAGATGGGGGAGTGGATGTGCTATTTGAATTTCTTTTGCCGTGGATGGGTTCTTTTTGAAAAACTTGTACTATATTTGTAAAAAATTCTTAATTCTTTTTGTGTGACATTTAGTAGCTTTATCTAGACAATTTGGATTGTATCTTCATATTGACAGGTTAACTTGTGGTTATATAACATTTTCGCTTTTTGGTTGACATTTACTAGCCAATTTCGATAGTATTTTTCATATTGGCAGTAGGTTTAACTTGTGGTTGTACTATGTAAAAACAATTTGGGTGGTATTTTTATAGACTTGTGTTATTGGGATGATATTAGTAGCCGTAAAGATTTTTGTTTCCAAAAATAATAAGGAGAAAAAAAAAAATTAAATAGCCCTTTACCAGCGCTCTTTTAAGAAGCATTGGCATGGGGGGGGGGGGGGGGGGGGGAAAACAAAATGGCCCTTTACCAGTGCTTTTGAAGAAGCGCTGGTAAAAGCCATTTACCAGCGTTTCTTCAAAAGCGCTGGTAAAAGCCACTTACTAGTGCTTCTCCAAAAGCACTGGTAAAGTCTTACCGACGCTGGATTTACCAGCCCTTTTAAAGAAGCGCTGGTAAAGCGCTAATTACCAGCGCTTTTTAAGGCTTTTACCAGCGTTTTTGAGTACTGGTAAAAGCCAAAACTGTTGTAGTGCTACCTCAATTTGAGATGAAATCTCAAATCCCACCGAAACGAAACCTTTCTGAATGCTACGCCACTTCGGGGTTTTGTCAGGCACAACAAGGTGAACCTTAAACCCTTAGGAGGTAACACCTAAATCCAAACTTGGCTTCAAATCCGAACTTGAAAAATGGCCAAAACAAGATTCCAATCGGTTGGAATCGAGGGCCTCGTTAAGGCTGACATTAAAGCCTTAGACATCACCGAAAAAATCCATGGGGAAGGGCTTAAAAAGAAGGAAAAAAAGGTGGCAGCCCATGGCTGCCAGCCATAGTGGAGAGATAAAGCTTTTATCTCTCTTCCCCTATTTATAGAAATCCTAAAAAGTAACCCAAATGGGTCCCGCCTGGCTCGAAAAAGTGAAATTTATGCAGACATGCTCAAACGGCAAAACACCGAGAATGAAAAAGAACCGAAATGAGAAAAAATGGATAACAAAATAAACGATGTCGAAAACTGAGTCTCGAATAGAGAGATATGCTCCAAACAAGTTCGGCGGCAACTAGGGTAAAAAATTCGAAAACTGGGGAGATCGACCGCAAGACAATTCAAAGTGTACGCAACTCAACGAAATGTGAATATGAATTCCGTATGAGGATCCAAGCCCCAGGGAGGCACTTTGTAACTTTTATTAATTGCACAAAGGCCCCTACATAAAAAAATTACTGTGCAAGTGACCCAAATGAAAATATCTTCTTAAAAACCCCCAAATCAAAAAATCTTGAAGAGATATTTATGAAAAACAGCCCAAGAAACAAAAATATTTATGAAGAATCTCTTCATCCACGCCCCTATGGGAAAAAGAAATAACAGGGAAACCAGCAGGAATGAAGCACGTGAAGTCAAAAATCAAGTCTGAGCACGAAAAGTGAGGTTACGCGAAAGAAAATATCAACGAAAAAAATTAATCCGTAAGAATGGGGAAAAAGAAAAGGAAGGAAAATGACCAGATCATTACATTTTCATTCTCTTTCTATAATTAAAACCTATTTCTTCCTTCAAAATTCTCTCATATTATTTTCTTTTCATTTTATTTTCTTGTTAGAAAAATTCTTTTTTCTTCTTAAAAATTTATTTTTTCTTGCACTCATGCATAATTCATGTGCAATAACATTCTTTTTCTTTTTTATCTTCTTATTCATTTTTTATTCACATATTCTAATGCACTGTTGTTACACTATTATATTTTTGGCGTGTTTGAAAAAAAATTATTTTGTCAGTGTTAACATGCCCCCTGAACCAAATTACTGGTTCCGCCCCTGACTTTATCAAATGGCTTTTTGAAATGAATTCACGTGCTTCTTTGTGATTGCATCCTTGTTTTTCATATCACCCTTCCATTGGAATTGGCTACGACAACCTTTCTTTGAAAATTGGCCAATAATTATAGTGCAAACAGTTATTGGTGTGGCCTTTTAATAAGCCATGTGTCCAACTTGGAGTAGTTTCTTACCAAAGTGCTTGGAAGATATAAATTTCCACTAAAAATTTGTAATCGGCCACCTATTAACCTTTCATTGGATGTTGATTGATAATTTGTGGTGCAAACATGATTTTAGCTGCAGGTGATCCATTCACTTAATTTATATGGCCACGTGCCAAGCACTTACTAGCCACTGTTATAAGAATTGCTATTGTAAGTTCCATTGGAACTTGCCATGTACATGCCACTTTCTAATTGACTACTGAAAATTGGGGTAGTAATTAACATTGTTCCCCAATTCTTTTGCGCCTCATATTCTTAGAAGAATAGTAAGGCATGTAAAATTTTAAATTATGAGTGAAAATTTGCCATGTGATATTCTATTGGAAGAGGAATGAGATAACTAAAAGTTTTTTCAACCATACTATACCATTTGGCCGAAACATTAATCAACGTATTATCTAGACCAAAAGCTATGATCTTGAGGATTTGAAACCTTTTGTCCAATTTCGTCCCCCCTAGTCTTAGAGGTTTACGTGGAGGACGGATTTATACATCTTCTGACCAATTGCACTGTTAATTGACCATATTTTGCCCCCAAAACGATGTAAATTTGGAGCAACTAAAATACTAGGACTTTCTTCCAAAATTGGAAGAAAAATGCTTTAACATTGATTTTCTCCAAGTGGAAGAATATACAACGACTGAGAAAATTAAGCCTATGGAAATGTTTCCCAACCTTTCTCACAGCTTGGTCCAAATCTTGCTGGAAGAATTCAACAAGTTGGTCGTGGTCAGGTGTCATAGGTTATGGTAATGGAATATTATATTTTGGCCAACCTTGAGGTTGGTTGGCCATTGGATGCCCCCAAAACACCACTGAAAGTGGATTTGAGTCGCCAGATGATTAAAACTTCTCCAGCAACCCCAAGGTTGGCCAAAACCTCTTACATTATTGGAATGTAAAAAGTTAATGAAAAGTACTGAACATGAATGGAAAGATAAAAAAAATGCGTTGAACAGAGTTTGCAAATTGCATGTGTCCTTGTTAAGAAAATAATTTATGTATTGACATATTTCTTATCAAAATTAGTTGTCAGTGTGCCATTTTATTGTTGAGTCAGACACAACACTTCAGTAAAGATAGGCGTCAAATATATTTGAGTATTGTTGAATCAGATGAAGATTTCAACAAAAACAAAATGTACCTGACAATAATTTCTGATTCAAAAAGTTTCCCAAATATTTATTCTCCAAATTTACTTGGTGGGTATGATTTTGCTTGTTTATCTCATTCCAGAAATTAATTATTATTTTTTTTTTTTTATTTAAAAATCTTGTCAAGTGATAACTCTATGGGGTTGGCTCAAAGATAAGACTTGGCTCTAACGGCATAACTTCTCCACTTCATCTTTAAAATGATGAAAAATTTGAAGGTGGGGATGGTTTAAGCCGAAGTATGGGCAAAATGTGTATCTTTTGTCTTTGAAGGGATGTTGAGGGATGACGTGGTCCCATGAATGCTGGGCAACTCTCTCTCCCTCACACAAACAAGAGGATGGCTTCAAGTAAACTTCTATATCCAAGTATTATTGAACTCGCTATCACATACAAACATAATCACAACAATTATATAAATATTCATACACACAATTTCTCTAATACAGTACATAACTAAGAAATTATACAATATCTTTTTATACACTTGCCAGTATGGTGCTAACAATAATAACCACCTTACCTACTATCCTTGTACCGAAGGATATTTGGCTCAACGGTATAACCTCCTTAATGACTTGAATCCGAAAATGAACAAAAGGGTGCGTTTGCTTTACCATTCGAAAATAAAAGGAGCTAGTAATGGAGAGAAGCATAAGTATTGATCAAAGCCAAAGCCAAAGCATTGCTAGTCAATTGCGCAATTTTCAGGACCCGACCCCTCACAGCAGTCTTCAAGTTCCCGTCCATGGCTTTCTCGGCGAACCCATCCATGCACGTGTCATTGTCCGTCAAACCGGCACTGACCCAAGTCTTTATGTCACTCATCATTCGCTCAAAGTTTGGCTCCTTAATTTGATTCATCTCTCCCAGAGATTCTCTCAGTTGGTCTACGGAGGCACTTAGCAACTCCACACAGTCACCCATGGCCGCGACCTCTCTAGGCTTCATGCCTTGGCTTCGTGGCAGATTTTTCAGCACGCTGGACGTATAATTGGCAGCGTTGAGGGTCAACGAGAGTGCTGTATATGCTAGGTGCTAAGGGCTTGTTTGGATAGCACTTGCATGGCCTGAGAGTGAGGTAAAACAAAGTTTTGGATAGATTGTTACTCTACAAGATTTTCTGATGAACTCGGTGCTTGATTTTCCAGCCACAGCACCGGAAGCCAAGCTCACGTAAGAGGTGAAGGCCAGTAAAATATAGGACAATTATTTACAGGAAAAGCTCATGTGGGGTAGTTTTGATAAGTATTATAGGACAATTATTTGGAGGATTTATCAAGATTCCAATAATGTATTAGGAGTAAGTAATGCGCATGACCACAAAAATAAGTTTTATTTTTTATTTTTATTTATTTATATAGTATTATCATTATATTTTGTAGACTTATAGGGGCCACGTTGTTTAAAATTTAATGGGCAAACAATCAAAATCTATAGATTAGGACATTCCAAAAGACACTGTTTTTTCGTTTTTTATTTGTTATATCACTCAAGATGGTCAGGGTTTGGGCTATTGTCATGTATTGTATTAATTGTTTATTTTATTTAAGAAAACTTGTGCTACCAATCAATAAAAGAAGTGTACCGCGTTACAAGAAACAACCTAGTTGGTTGGTTGGGTTTTTTTTTTTTTTTTTTTTTTTTAATTTTTTTATCTTTTTTTCTTTTCATCATCCATAACATAAACACAGGACAATGGATATCACACGATACCGACACAGTGATAAAACAAATCTTCAAAAAATAAGGCACCAATATGGCATAGATATGTCAGAAAATAATAATAAAATATTTTATCATATATGAAAAACAATCACTTTTATTCATTTTATCCACATGATCATGAATGAAAGTACTAATTTGTAGTTTAGAATTAAATTTTTGTTACTAGATTTTTATTATTTTAAATTTTATACATTTTTGTTATTTTAAATTTTATTCTATTTTTTTGTATTAGTCTATAATATAATATAATATAAATTGCATTGAAATTCATTCTTCTAATAAAAATAATTACAAAATTGTTCTAAAAGTATCCAAAACGTGTTTTGTCGTGTTCAACTAGAAAATAAAATATTCAAATTTTAGGTCCCTTTTATCTATGTCTTACACATTCAAACCGTGTCTACTTGTTCGGATCGTGTCCAACACTGCCACTATGCCTTAGGTGGAGTGTCGTGCTTCCTGGTTCACAAGGGAGGCGAACTCTATTGAAAAGATGGTATACCCTTGATGTACAACACAATACAATGGACAACACGCTACAATCGAAGTGAGAAAGACCACTTTAAGTAGACTTTTTGGAAGCAAAGAAAAAACAAAAATACATTTGATTAGTTGTTGCCTTTAAGATTCGATCATTTCAAGATATTGTACAAAATGGCAATAAAGTTTCTTTTAAGGAGGCAACTTTAGGACATAATTTCAAAACAAAAAAATAAATAATTAAAATATTTGGATACTAATATCAAATGGGTGTTTACAATTTGAAACATATTTTTGTGCTGAAAAGGCCGAAGCATGAAAGAAAATATCTAGCAAAACACTGGAGTTATTAGTACACGTCACATATAATTCGTCTGGCCAAAGAATGCTTATCAGGTATAAAAGCATGCCTGTGATCACTAGAACAAGAGGGGATAAGATTGATGAGTAAACAGTAATTCTTTGCATTTGAACGCAACTTGCTTCAGCTACATTGCATGTGTGCGATTGGTGGGGTCTCAAAAGCCAAAGATTGTAACTTATAGGCAACAAACAACACATTCAGGAACACTGAATCGTCTACAAGCGACCCCGCCAACTTGTTTTGGGACCAAACAAATTGGCTAATGACATTAACATAAAATTGGCTAGGAGCCGTTGAAAAGATTTGATCTAACCACTAGGGTTTGAATGTGACATGAATAATTGAGAACTTGAATAATACAACATGATGTAAGGTTTATTTCTTGTGTTTTAAGTTGGCCAAGACTACCATATACATCCTCATTCATTGCGTGTGATTAAATTCAGTCCCAAAATTAATAATTTCTATGACTTTTGAGGCATGTATGATCACTCTCCTTAAGGTGTTATTTGGCTCTACTCAAAAGGTATTGGCTACCGGGACACCTTTAGGATACAACAGAGTCTGAATTTCTACGATTAACAATACTGAAGAATAAAAAGTTGTGTTGTTGGAAACGGGAGCATTAAAAACATAAATTTTGGATGAGAATTGGAATAGATTTCGCTAAAAATTTTCTGTGGATCTATAGACGAGCGCACTCCTCTCCGCAAGGAGATGAACGTGGTATATTTACTTTCTCAAATCCGTTTCCAGGTGAATGAGAAATTTGCTGTAAAGTGAGGTGTTTGATTAGCCTAAATGGGTTTACAATATGTGGGAAATACTTGTCCCACATCGAAAAAATATTAAAACCATTTGAAGTATAAATAAGCCAAGTATGAGATTTGGGTTTGGGCCCAAGGCACCCAAGTTTTTAAGAGGGGGAGGACTTAGGCAAGTTTAGGTCCGAACCAACTACCACACGTGCACTCCGCCAGTTCGGTCTGGGCTTAAGTGTGAATTCTGTTTAATTTTTTATTAAACAAAAATGGGCATGTATTAAAATTTCATAACTATTTTTCAGTTTTTTCCATAGGCTGCACCTGGTTTGAACCATTGTGACCCATGCTTGCACCCTCCCTATAGGCACTTTATAGCCTATAAGTACCCTTCTTTGGTTCACTTCCAAATCACACCAAAATTCAAAGATTTCTTCTCTTTTTATGAGTTTTCTTCTTGCTCTTTCTCTCTTTAGTTTGTGGATTCGAGCCCTAATACTTTGGGTTCAAGCCTTAGTCAGTGATTTCGAGTCCGAGTTCGAGTTAGAAAGTACTACACCGAGCCAGTTCGCCTATTCCTTTAGTTTGCAGTGCTACTACCGAAGGAAGACTGGTGTGGTCAATACCTAGTTACAAGAAAAGTGTGTAGTGTGGCCAAGTTTAAATTTGTAGAATGCCACTACCACTTCTAACTATTAATGTAGCTAAAGTGAGTAGGGATCGTCCCAAGGGAAATGGAGTGTATTTTTGCTTGGAAATCAACGTTGGATTAGTAGGTCGAATGATCAAAAGATGATTTGGTGGTTAAATTAGACTACAATGTAAACTAGATAAATGCAAAGTGAAGCAATTAGAGTAAAATGAGGTGTAGAGAATATAAGAGAGGATTCTTGGGACTTAGAGTTCACCATTAAGAATTACCTTCCTAGACATTCAATGTTTGATGGATTAGGGGGATTATATGTTGTAATGAAAGTGTGTGCCATTAATTGAATTATCAAGCATGGATGGCCAAGTAAGTATACATTGTTTAGCCAAACTAATGAATAGCACAACATATCAAATTAAGCCATTATTCTTTCCCTTAAGTCCACAATTAATGCACACTCATCAAATTAGAGAAATATACTACTTGCATTCATAAGTATAGAACATCAAATAACAAGCATGGATTGTCCACCTATCTAAGAAAGTAAGGCAATTACGCTACAACTAAGCTAGTGACATGAAAATTAAACTAATTAAACTAAGGAGGTGGCACAATCCATCAAGAAATAAGTATGAACCATCAAACAAACCACAAGAGTAATCTACTTAAGAACCATGTCTTGACCATCACTAGATTCATAATATCAACACACATAGACATGCATCAATGTCACAAAATCTAGAAATAAATACATGAATATTCATCCTAGCATACATAGACATATGGGTAGAATTAAATGATCAATTGGAAGTATTAAACTACACAAATCATTGTAGAAACAAGATTTATATATATAAGATGTCAATACAATAATTACAACACAAATCCCTTTTAATTACAAAACATCAAAGTCTAGGAGGCATGCTGAGGACTATCTCTAACCCCAAGAGAATAGTTTAGCCACTCATTGATGCTGTCATCCAACCCTCAAGGGTTATCTCCATAATAGAAATGATTCTCCTCTTCTTAGTAGAAACCTAGATGAGTGGAAGAGCTTTCCCCAAATGGTGTATATTTCTCTCTTATCTTTAGCCTCTTTATTGTATATGATGTATATCTATTCAAAATATCCAAAATCCTTATATAGGTAGCCCAAATTTCACACCTAATGGTCAGACCTTGACCTCGTGCACTAGGACCTCCAAATGATTACACCACGATCACACCTTTAAGTTGGCTAGAATTCAGTTTTTCACATAGTTGAGGCAGTTTGATCGATTACAAGGGTGCTTTAATCGATCGAACTATAGCGGCGCCTTTTTGAATAATGACAAAGCTGAGATATTTTTGGAATATTTTGCAAAAAGGACAAAAGTGGTAGGTGAGGATAAAATCAAAAATATTTGATCGATTGAAGGAAAGGTTGGATCGATCGAAAGGAAAATTTTCATGCAGATAAGGACAAAAGGCTTGATCCATCACGACATCGTTGGAACGATCACTATGACGACCCTTGATTTTTTTACACACCTAGTGTATCCTATGATGACCAGTAACAGATCCAGAAATGCAAAAGCTAAAGAAGAAAAATGGCCTCAAGAGATGTACATCATTCTTAAGGCACCAAGATGACTCCCCATGAAGCTATGGAACTTAAATATGCCAAGCAATGAAGCAAGAATGCCTAACGCAAAAAGAAATAAACCAAGGGCAAAATAGTCATTTCACACTAAAATGGGTGCCACCGTGCACACCATTGGAAAGACAACAAAAAATGAATGAAGTTAGACTTAAGAATTGCCTGATTTCGAGTCCGGAAGGAAAGGATATGAAATTAAAACCAAGTGGCCTTCTCCATTTAAGAGTTACTATGAACCTATCCCACTAAAACTAAAATAACTCACACTACCAATGGAGTTTTGATGAATGGTTAGTACCACTGGAAAGCTAACTTCAAGCTCTTG